TGCCGTGAGCTGCATGTAAGTATGTGACAAGGAAATATATGTATTCAATATTTTCTTGTACTTAGTACCCAATAATACATATATGTTGCCAAAGTTTATTTCGTCTTATTTATTTGCAATGATAGCAAGAGATGGTCAATGTACAAGCAGCTGCCATCGAGTCGGGGACGCCATAGACTCAGGAGGAGATTTCAATGCAAGTGCTTGGACAGAAGAAAAGGTACTTGCTTGGATTTGGGAGTGGCCCACAACCCTCTACCATATTTGCAGCACAAGCACACGATAAGGACATGGAGGCAATGCGAGCTGAGGTGGAGGCACTTCGTGAGGAGCGGCAAAAAGATCATGACGAGTTAATGACAGAGCGAGAGGAGCGCGAGAGATGTTACAATGAGCTGTTGAAAGAGCGAGAGGAGCGTATTAAATTATCCAATGAGATGTTGAAAGAGCGGGAGGAGGGACAAAAGGCAAGGGAGGAGACAAATACAAAGGTCGAGCATCTTAATAACGTAGTTGCCAAACTGTCACAACTCTTGGGAATCTAAGTTAGGCATTCGACGTTTGCTTTTGGTAAGAACAATTTCATTAACGTCACACTTACTTTGTTTAAATAAGTTCGCTTTAAGAGTTGAAAATGGTATCAATTTGGGAGTTAATCTGTCTCACAAATTGAGTGGGAGTTGTTTAAATATCTTCGCTTTAGCTTTTGTTTATAAGTTTCTGAGCTGATTCTTTATAGTCATTCCTAGATTACTTGATTAAGAATAACTATAGTAGCAACATGTTAAAGGAACATAGCGAATTTCAATCTTCGTTTAAATTACAATGTTGTTTTCAACAGAGGTATTTTGAATAGTAACTCGAACCACTGTTTGAACCTAATGGTAAGCTTCCCAGTGACAAATGTGACATGTAGGGTCAGGCGGTACGTAAATAGGATATCTACGTTGGGAGTTAGAGTTGAAAATGTTGTAAACTTAGTTGAAAAAAGGGGTTCGGGGGGCGAAAATGCAAAACAGCCCCCGAACCACTGTTTTTTCGTAACGTGTAACGCCCTCAAAATAATAACATTAAACCCATCAAATAAGACATGCATTGACATATGAACTAGCCACATTCTTACATTCATTAAAATTCCATTACATAAGTATTACATGTTGGTTCGGGGGGCGAAAATGCAAAACAGCCCCCGAACCACTATTTTTTCGTAACGGAAAGCTTCCCGGTGATAAATGTGACATGTAGGGACAGACGGTACGAAAATAGGATACCTACGTTGGCTGTTAGAGTTGAAAATGTCGTAAACTTAGTTGGAAAAAGGGGTTCGGGGGGCGAAAATGCAAAACAGCCCCCGAACAACTGTTTTTCCGTAACGGGAAGCTTCCCGATGATAAATGCGACATGTAGTGACAGACGGTATGTAAATAGGACACGTACGTCGGGAGTTAGGGTAGAAAATGTCATAAACTTAGTCGAAAAAAGGGGCTCGGGGGGCGAAAATGCAAAACAGCCCCCGAACTGCTGTTTTTTCGTAACGGGAAGCTTCCCGGTGACAAATGTGTCATGTGCGGACAGACGGTACATAAATAGGACACGTATGTATGGAGTTCAGGTTGAAAATGTCATAAACTTAGTCGAAAAAAGGGGTTCGGGGGGCACCAATTTGCAAGAACTAAATGTGACGAAGGATATATCCTGTTGACCTAATTGGTTGGAAATTCGAATAATGGATGTGTAAATTTCAGCTAAGGCTTAGGCGCAATTATGTAATTGATCAGTTTAACTATCACCACTAAAAAATGTGCAACAACGGTTGAGAATAGTAGACAGTTCCTTATTCACTTTAGTGTATCTATTAAAAAATCTATCATGATTCCTTAATTTTCTCCCGGTGATAAATGTGACATGTAGGGACAGACGGTACGTAAATAGGACACGTACGTTGGGAGTTGGAGTTGAAAATGTCATAAACTTAGGCGAAAAAAGGGGCTCGGGGGGCGAAAATGCAAAATAGCCCCCGAAACACTGTTTTCTCGTAATGGGAAGCTTCTCGGTGATAAATGTGACATGTAGGGACAGACGGTATGTAAATAGGACACCTACGTTGGGAGTTAGAGTTGAAAATGTCATAAACTTAGTC